CAGCATATTTTAAAATTATTTAATGTCAAATTTTGATCTTTAAATTCAGAACAACATTTTCTAGAATGACAGATGATGGCCTTAGTGAGCTAAATGATTAGGCTAGCCCAAGATTCTTATGTATTGTTTGTTAAATTGCTAGAAATTTTTTTTTCTGATGCTGCCCTTCTCCCTGCTTTTCACATAAATTGGTATTTTGGCATAAACAGTAGAGCTAAAGAAAGGGGGACACTTGAGTTCTTATGGCAAGATTCAGAAAATATTTTTCCACACTCAAGACAGAAACATTGGTCATTACTCTCTTTCCCTTTTCATGCGTTTGCCAGGACTTTCCAATCCTCATCTAGAATACAAATGCACATGTATAGTGCTTTACAAAAACTAGTTAATTACTCCACAGAACACTCACATGGAGAATAAATTTTACTATCCTTATTTTTTTCATTTGCTGTTGGGTAACCGCATTTATCGTTCCTAAAGACAGTAATATTGATTTCTAGGTATGTGTTGGTACTCATCAAAGAGATTGTATACTAGGTTTCCAAGGATGTCAGCTTGTTGTCTGTCACAAGCATTAAACAGCCTTAAAACTAGGCAGTAGGATGAATTGCTCCCCTAACCCCACTATCCTTCTGAATGTAAATCTGGATCCAGGTTCACAGAAGGAGTCTACCTCTGTAACTAGTAGTTTTTAAATGCTCTGAAATTTGGAGGAATAGATTCAAATCAAGATTAAGGTTAAATTTCCTGACTTGGAAATTCTCAAAACTGGGGGTTTGATTTCAGTTTTTACACAGACTTAGATTCCTGGCCTGACTCTCTTTGAAACCATTGTCTTTCAAAAAAAAGCTGCCTAACAGTGAAGAATAATTGAGAGTATACTGGCTGATCCTATTCTTTGTTGAAACTTTTTGAGTGTATGTCATAAATATGACTGGTTTTCAAAAAGACTTTTCTGCATATAGTGGGTGCATCTATATGTGCACTTTACTGTGGAGTAGACAATTTACTTTGGAGTAGAGCATTACAGTCTACATGTGTGGCAGTATTAGGGCATGGTAAGCTAATTAACTCTGCTGAAAGATAGCACTGATGGGGACACTACTGTTTTACAGCAGAGTCATTTACTATGGTAAAATGCATGTGTAAATGCTGACTGCAGGTGTACATTGTGCCTGGTCCGCCCAGCCAGCCAGGAACCTGCTCCATCCTGCTCAAATTGTTACTCTTCTGGGGGCATGTGCAGATGCTCCACCCGGGAGCAGTTTACTCTGACTTGAACTGCTCTGGAGTTTACTCTGTCTTATTAATTGCACATGTAGATGCACCCATTGATAATGATGTTTAAAACTGGTGTTAGAAAAATAAATGTACATAATTTGGTTTCAAGAAAAATAAATATAGTGACAAGGAATTGATACAAATCTCTAACCATATAATAGCCATTCATAGAATCCTTGGCTAGAGCCAAACGTTGTGTAGATCCCTATAAAATGGCAAGAAATAGTAATAATGAGGTACACTTCATAAGACTGTTTTGGATAAACCTATGCTGAGGGTAGGGCTAGGATTCAGGAAGACTTAAACAGGTTACAGGATTGGACCAAAAGAAATCTCATGAAGTTCAATAAGGACAAGTGCCAAGTCCTGCAGTTAGGACAGAATAGTCCCATACACCAGTACAGACTGGCAATTAACTGGTTAAGCAGCAGCTCTGCAGAAAAAGACCTGGGAGTTGCAATGGACAATGAACTGAATCTGAACCAACATTACGCCCTTGTTGAGAAGAGGGCTACCATTGTACTGGCTTGCATTAGTAGGACTGTTGCTAGCAGATCAAGGGAAGTGATTATTCCCCTCTGTTAGGCACTGGTGAGGCCACATCTGAGTACTGTCTAGTTTTGGGCCCCCTGCTATAGAAAGGATGTGGGCAAATTGGAGAGAGTCTAGCAGAGGGCAGTGAAAATGGCTAGAGGGAGAAGCACATGCTGTATGAGGAAAGACTGAAGGAACTGGGCTTATTTAGTTTAGAGAAGAGAAAACTGATGGGGGATTTAATAACAGCCCCTGAACGGTGGTTCCAAAGACAACAGAGCTAAAGCGTTCTCACTGGTGGCAGATAACAGACAAGGAGCAATAGTTTCAAGTTACAGCAAGGGATGTTTAGGTTACCTATTGGGGAAAAAAATTCTCAGGAGGGTAGTAAAATACTGGAGCCAGCTGCCCAGAGGGATTGTGAAATCTTTATGTATTGAGGTTTTTAAGACCTGGGTAGACCAAGCCTTTGTTTGGATGATACAGTTGGGCATGGTCTTGCTTTGAGGAGGCATTTGGACTAGATGACCTCCTGATATCCTTTCTAACCCTAATTTTCTATGATTCTAAGAAGAGTACATATTTTTGCAAAACAATGATGTGCTGCTCATGCCATGTAATTTTTTTAAGATCAGTTAAATGGTCATTCATCTATTATGCTTAAGAAGGTTCCAAACCAAAAGAATGTCAAAGACCATGCTTTTGCATGTAGACAATCAGTCATTATTTATATAAATAAAAATAAGTCTAAATAAAAAAATCACGTAATATAGTTGATATAATTTTTCCTGTTTTCTCAAAGCTCTTTTATGTTTGCCAAAATGAGAAAGAGAATCAGGTCATTTATCTATTGGGTCCTGCAGGAGAATTTGCCCCCTTAGGAATTCCTCAGCCAGTTCTCCAAAGCAAAATTCAGTAAACAAACAAACCAAACAAAATCCTTTATCCTCACCCAGACATTAGGGCTAGAAACAGATGTTGCTGAAAGAAGTGGATCGGCTGTGCTGCAACGTGTCGCAGCACAGCTGATCCAGTTCACTGGGCAAAAACCATGTTGCCCCTTGCCCTGTCTTTGGTGTGGGACAAGTGGCTAGATGATCTGCCTGTTTTCCTCATCTAGGCAGATCTGAGGCATGGTTCTGGCTGAGTGGGGAAAGCAGGAAAGAACCTTTAGCTGCCCAGCCAGACCTGGGGCAGGAGTCTGGATGAGCAGGGAAAGCAGGCAAGGACTTTCCCCACCCAGCCAGATCTGGGACACTGGTCTGGCTTGAACAGGGAAAGCGTGACAGAGGTAATGGGTACCTGCTACAATTAAGCAGCAGTCTATTACCACTTTTTGTTGCACCATTGATTTTCTTTTCATATGGCACAACAAAGGGTGTCAACTTCTATTTAATGGTGGCACGAATGAGACATCAAGCCATGTCTGTATCTACCCCAGGAAAACAGTCCCTTTTTCTGGCTCCAGCACAGCAGACTGGCTTCTCTTTCCAGCAAGTCTCCCTTCACAGTGTGCTTCCTCCTTCCCATTGCTTTTTCTTCTACTGAGGTCTCTTAACAAGGCTGGCTTTTCCTCCATAAAGGGAGATCCCACCCTGTTAGCCAAAGTTTTGTTTTTTTTTTTATTTAATCTTTTCTAACACTATTTCCCAATATTCCATATACCTCCATATGCTAGTCCTTTGATGCCTGTTTCAGTGAAAAATACAACTAAATTTTGCAACCTCCGGAAGTACAGGTTTTGTAAGGTTTTTGCAGTACACGTAACTTATTTTTTGCTGAATCAAGTCCTTAACAATGTAAGATCTTTTTCATGTGGTAAATGCTAGTGGACTGCAAGCTATACTAATGAGCTGAGCCCTCCCTCTAGATACTGCTCAGGTATCCACACTAAATTAGTTAAAGTTAAGAGTATACTAAGTTAATTTCTGATGACAGTACCTCCCAGCTTTGTGTCAGTATAGAGGAGGATAGGCATATCATGCTAAGAGGCCTGAGTGACACTGAGGAGTAGAGAAATAGACTGCAGATTTATTACTTGGAAACAGCAGTAGAGAAGACAGACCTAGATGTTTGACCTGCTTGCGGGATAACTGAGCCACCAGTGTGGCATGACTGTAAATGGAAAATGAGATCATGGAAGGCATCAGGCATATTATTTCAAGTAAAATAGGGAAATATTATTGTTATGATAAAAGGTACTATTAAGACCTCATCTGGAATACAGTGCATGGTTCTGATCCCCTAAAATTATTTAGGGAAGATTAATTACAATTGGAACAGGATTATTAGGGGAGCAGAGAGCCTATTTTATGATAGGTGACTAAAAGAGCAAAATCAAGGCTGAGAGATTATACAATTGTATTCTGTAAATGCAATTGGGGTTAGGAGGGGAAAAAGTATTCAAGATTAAGGACAATGCTGACATAGGAAAAATGGGTATAAACTTGACATGAGTAAATTTAGGCTGGAAATTAGAAGAATGAATTTAGCACTAGAAAGGATCCCTGGGTCACTGAGTCCAGTCCGTCTACCAGTACAGGCAAACACCCTACAATTCCATTTGTTTATTTATCACTGCTCCATTTCCAATAGGAGCAGTGGGCGGCGGGGGGGAAAGACTGCCCAATTTTAAGATGGAGCTTAATAAATTTATGAATGGGTTATATGACACAGCTTTCTGTGGCAGCATAGAACTGGACTTCATGACCCAGGAGATCTTTCAGTCCTGTGTTCTATTCTTCTGTTCCTAATTTTATCTCTGTCACACAAAGATAGATAGGCCTGTCCTTTTTTGCCTTTGGAATGCACCAAATTGCATCTAAAGGCAAATATTTTTATAATATGTCCCCAAGAAGTTACCATCAGGTCATCTTAGCAGAGTTGAAAATTTGAACACTATCTGTTTCATTTACTACTCTGTTTATATAGGCCAATATCATGACTGAGGTAGTGTTCAGTGACCTGGGGAAAGGGAGCCATATAATTATTCTTTATTCTTATTTAATCTTTTGAAATCACTGAGATTCCATCAAGACTTAATTTTGACATGAGCACATATTTTTGAATGCTAAATATATTGACAGGGGGAGGGGGAAAGGGAAATCTCATGTGATGGCATTTCTGAAATTCAGAAGCAAATCTTTCATATACAGTAACTGACCTATATTTTTTTTTTTGTCCAGTTTGTTTCAGATCCTTGTGCCAGCAACCCATGTCACCATGGTAACTGCAGCAAAAGTGGAGATGGCTATCTCTGTATTTGCGATGAAGGTTATGAAGGAACAAACTGTAAACATTCATTTCACAGTCCTCCAGTCTCTGGATGGACAGAGTCACTGGCACCAAGACAGATCCGGCCAGTTTCATCAACTTTGGAACCTGACATTATTTTACCACATTCAAGAGCGACCATGACATTACCTACATGGCAGCCAAAAGCAGGACAGAAAGTTGTAGATCTGAAATGGGATGAAATAAAGGTGAGAACACTGTTTAAGGGAGTCATACATAAAAAGCTGTTTTATCATTTGATATAGTTCTGTAGGTGTATATGTTGGAGTGTTGCAGAATAAGTTCTGCCCCAGTCCACAAAATTACGAGCTAAAACATTAACACCTACAAATGGTCATGGCTTAATTCTTTTCAAAATAGGTGTAGAATTTTTAGATACGGTTTCTGGAAACTTTTTTGATATGTAGAAGACAATATCTTTTAATTCTTATCAATAAACATGAGTATTCAAATAAATTAAAAAAACTAAACAAAAACCCAAAGGAGCAAATTATACAGCATACCTTTTAGCGTGATTTTCTTCCTTTGATTGGTAGTGATATCCTTTTACATGTGTGTAGCAAATAATCCCACATTATTTTGAAAACTGTAGCCCCATAATATTACTGAAATTAAGCTATCTCTGTGGTTGAACATAATTGCCTAGGTGACAAAAATGACACTCAATACACTGTATGTCAGTAGTTGATGGCATGTGGAGTGGGGAGAACTTGATCAAGAACTCTGAAAAACATGTGTGTTAAATAATCTTTTGAAAAGTAGCTTGATTTTTAGTATTAATTTTTTTAATGGCCATTCAACATCTCTGTTTTTAATAAGATCTTCTTTGAAGGGCACTATGTACTGTCTTGGAGGTTAATCTATCTGAAAGAATAAAGGCTGTGTGTAGACCATATTGAGATTTGAACTTGCAGTTCCAGAGTGTTTTACTGTATGCTAAGGTAGTCACAGGTTACAATGTATAATTTTAAATTGTCATGTTTCTGAGTTCAGTTTTGTGTCATCACTTGACTTTATGAGAGAACATATATGAAGCCCCCTGTGGAAACTTTGTATTTCTAGTCTCCAGCCTTGTAGCCTCTTAGGCTCATAGCATCCATGTTAATTGTGCCATGCCACACATTCAGCCAATTTATGGCTTCATAAAATGGCAAACCATCCACAAAGATAATCTACATAAAATGTGAACATCTTTGTGTCTGGTTTGTATGGTACCATGCAATGAATGTGTGGCATGCCCCATCATCCCAATGCTGACATTCAGCTGATTGTCAACTTTAGGACCTGGGCAGTCCCAGATTTGGAACCCATCAGGGGTTGCCCCAATGCCAGTAACTGCTGATTGTCAGCATTAAACTGGGACAGCCTCAGTCTGGTACAGGATGAATGGGTTGCAAGGTTACTGGTGGGGCAAGCCCCTTGACTAGGACCCTTGCAAACTTTGTGCCCAGGCATTTTAAAGCTACTCAGTGGACGTGTCTACACATGCAATTAGTGCACCTGAATAAACTCTAGCGCAGTTAGTGCTGGAGTTTATTGCTCCCAAGTGCACTATTTGCATGTGTGCCGAGACCATAGCACATTGAGCTGGGGCAGAGCAGCCTTGGCTTGCAGGAGGCCCTGGGGGTCAGCCTGGTAGCCCGGGGCTGCTCTTACCCAGTTCAACGTGCTGTGGAGGAGCTGGCTGGGGTACAAGGGTGCTTCAGTGCCGGGCTATCCAGCAGGCAGTCCTCACACTGAAGCACCCTTGTGCCCCCACGAGCCAGGTCAGCATCTACATGTGTTGTACTGGAGTAAATACTCCATCGTAGGATAGTACTTGTGTCTGGTATTACTATCCTATGGCGCAGTTGATTAGTTTACTCTGTCGTAATAGCATGGCACATGTAGACGCTCACATTTTACTGCAGAGCTAATTTGGCAACTGCAGTAAACATCTCATGTAGATGTATGTTTAAAATTCTGGGTTGCAGGAAGCCCCAGGCTCCCTGTGACCCAGCCCATTGTTTCCTTGCCTTGAAGCTTCCAGGAGCCAGATGACCTTCAGTCTTGACTAATCAAGAGGCTATGCAATGCAATTTGGCTAGTTTCAGCATAATTTAAAATAAACACTTTTTCTGCTTTTAAATTTCTCCTGTTTTAAGTGTTTAAATTTTCCAGGGCTAAGAACTGATACCTCATCAGTGTGATTTGAAACTAGCAGATACTTTCAATTTGGCATAATACTGCTATTTTAAATCAGTCTCCTATATATATGGGAAACAGTATTAAGTATAACATTATATGTACCTTCTAACACTAATGGCATAATAGATGCATAAAACATGTAATGCTGAGCCATGTTTGAACGACTGAGAACCAGCATTTAAAATAATCAAGACTGCTAAAGGTGACTGGTAATAAATTGTAAACAATTATCATGCATCTTACAAAAATCTTATAATCCAATATCTGGCAATAAGACATTCAGAATGTGCTTTATATATAAACTCTAATGAGAGACGCTTACTCTGTTGCTGCTCTGTGCAGCAGTCCACTCTCACTGGGGAATCTTGTATTTGTTGCAGCACACCTTACCCTATTTACTTGAATTTAGAATGAAGTTTTCCCCCCAATCAACATGGGGGGGGGAAAAAGCCCCTTGTCTTACATTCCCATACAAGGAAATATCATTAAATGTATTGCCTATCTTTGAACTGCTGCTAAAAGTAGTCTGTGCTCAGTAATGGAAACCAGCTAGAAGCTAATTAAATATAGCCAACATGACTATAAAGTACATGGCCCATATGGGGAAACATGCTGATGGGAACCTACCACATTATTTTTGCAAAAGAATAAAATAAAAATGGAGAGATATAGATGGATATCTATCTATCTATCTATCTATCTAGATTGAATATTTTGCTATAGCTCTACCAACCTGTGGGTCACTTGACAGTCCAATACACACTTTTACACTTGCACCATTCTCATTCCCATTATAAAACTGCACCACACACCCACATTCCTATGTGCCTGAGCACCCATTTGCTCATTTCTGTCACCTTTAACCATCACAATTACATGGAGGGCACCTCAGTGCCCTCCCTATTTCCCCTTTTCCCTTCCCCCCGCATTCCCTCCCAACTCCTCTGCCTATTTGTCCAGAACTTTCACTCATCATGTATTTGTTGTCATCAACAAATGTTGTCGCCATTGTTGTCCTCATCGTCATCATTGCTGCTCTCTTCAGGGGACCTGCCTCTGAGCAGTCTATGCCAGTGCCCTCTCTTCCATGTGATGTCCGCCATCTCTTGTCTGTCATCTTCTACCATTTTTCTGCAGTACTGATACATCTCACTCAGTCCAATTTTGATTTAGCCCTCAACTGAGAGATTTGTTTGTCTGTCTATGAGCAGGTTGCTAGTCCTCCACAGGGCATTCCTGAAGCAGGAGATGAATTGGTCAAAGCGGGCTGTTGGGGTCCTTTGCTTCTTAGTCAAGTGCCCATACAGAATTGCCTCTCTGGTCAGGGTCATGAACTCTGTCACCACTAGAAGAAGTAGATCTATTATCTTCCAAACCTCTCTGGCATATTAGCAATCCTGGAGGAGGTGGTTGATTGTTTGTGGCTCCCACTGGCAGGTTTGCCTGGGGCAGTTTGGGCCTCTCTGCTAATTCACTGTTTCTTCATGCCCATGCTAGGAGTGCCTGGTGGGCTGCCTGCCAGTTCAAGTCTCTATGCTTCTTCTGCAGGTCCTTATGGAAGATTTGCTCCCACATGGCCGGGTGGTTGTTGCTGGGTACTAGGTCCATAGGCAACATAACATCTCTTGCCTTTACTGTCTCTTGAATCTTATGGTGGTTCATCAGGGTTGCTGCGGCCTTGTCATGCAGTTTTTATTTGTCCTAGAAGTGCTTCAGGACCTCATAGAACCATGGCAATGCCCTGGTCCGTAGGCTTGCATTGGTTATTGTGTACGCTGACCACTGTCGCAGTAGTTGACCTGTAAAACACTTTACCAAGTTAGCTGCTTTGGTTTCTTTCCTTATTGCCACTTAGGAGATCTGGCTCATATACTTGACCCAGAAGAACAGCGGAATGCCTGGCAGTCCTCTGCCTCCAGACCATTTTGCTTTGTTCAGTGTGGCCCTTGCCACCTTCTCTCATCTGAAGCCCCAGAAGAAGATGCACATGGCTCTTTGGATTCTGCGAATGACTTGCTTTGAGGAGGAGAAGGCTAGTGTAGTGTGTAGAGGCACTGGTAGTAACACTGCCTTTGTGAGTGCTCTGTGCCCCACCCCCTCCCCCCATTGACAGGCAGCACAATTTCCATAGTCCTAGTCTGTTTGGCCTTGGCCTCAGTCTTTTCTCATGCTTTCTGTCTGGTCAGCTCTGGCTCAAACTCCACCCTGAGAATCTTTACCCCTTGAAGGGGATGGAGACCCACAGGGCTGACAGGTTCCTGAGTAGGCAGTTGTTTTGCTCATGTTGAGCTTGGCCACTGCTGTTGCTCTCTGTATACTTGGGTGTGTTAACACTCTTTAAATCGACCATTTGTTCCTGCATATGATATTGAGGTCATCCATGTAGGCCAGGACCCTCGTCTCTTCCTGGTTACTCCCGGGGATATCTACTCTGCTGACCCTGCGGTCCTGCCTGAGCCTCTGTCATAGTAGTTCCATTATGCAGATAAACAGAATTGGGGATGGTGGGCAGCCCTGGCAGATGCCTGACTCCACCAGAGTTGGAGATGTCAGGCACTCGTTTACCAGTACCCTGCTACTCACATTAATGTACAGCATCTTTATCTAGGTGACGAAGGTTATGGGGATTCCCATCTTTTCAGTTTCTCAAACAGGAACCAATGGAACACTTGGTTATAGGCCTTCTCCAGGTCGAGGTTCAGCATGGCAGCGTTTAGCCCCTCTCCAATTGGTAGCATGTGTTGCAGCTACATCAGGGCTCCATGCATCTGTCATCTTGGCACCACACATAATTGGTTTTCATGGATCACTGCACCTATAATAGACTTAAAGCTCTTGGCCAGGATTTTGGCCATTAGTTTTGTAGGCAAAGTTCATGAGCATTGTGGGATGCCAGTGTTCCAGGTTCCACTTCTCCCATTCTTGTAAAGAAGGGTTATATGAGGCCTTTCTCCATTTCTTCTCTCAGGTGGCCTCCTGCAGGGGTTCTCTACAGACCTCC